CCAATGTGTCAGGCGCCAATGTCTTTCTCAGGTTGAGGTCGTTGCGAGCTCTGGGTGCAGGCAGCTAGGCGCCCGGCCGCAGCGCGCATCTCCCTTCGCTCCGCCAGAAGCTCCCAAGTCTGGAGTCAGCAGCCCGCGTGCCCCGCGAAGTTCCAAGCCCTGCGCCACCGGCCCACCTGCGTCGGTACCATCCAAAGGTAATGCCACAGGCCACAGTCCATGCGTCCTGAGCAGCGCACACTTACCCCACGTTGAGACAGTACACTTTAATAATGGAATTCGCAGCATGTTTTTCCCTAAAGGAATTGCGAAGATCACCTCCCAACTAAGGTCACTCATAGAAGCATTGTGTTTAGTCCTGGAAGGATCCTTTAGGAAAGGCATTTTGATGATGAGAGTGGTGAAGCTACTGCACTTCTTCCTTTTTCCCTTTCTTGGTTCCGGGAGCTTCTTTTCCGTGTTATCACAAAAACCGCCACAGACACATTCCAACCTTACAACATCAGAACACTGGCAGGCATTCCAGAACTCTAACACTGCTCCAGCAAAACTTCCCTGAAAGCACAACAGACTGGCCACCCCACTCTCAATTTCCCCTCCCAAAGGCAATTAATATAAATTGTCCTTAGTCCCAACACATCTTCAAGTGAATATGCAGATAAGGTCAAATAGGCCATTGAAAGAGTAGTTAACTGGGGACCAGGAACCCATGTAACACATCATAAAAGAGACTTTAAGGAATTGCATTATTAATTTCAGGTAGAAAACTGTTTTAAATGAGCCACAGCTTGCCTAACCTTAGGCCCAATGAGGTAGTTGTTATTTCCTGGAGAGAAAAATGTCTTAAAGAATTTTTTAAAATTCTCAATCGACTCTTGTCTTCTGAAGAAAAGTTCCCTGCTCCCAAGTTAAGATTTTCCTCACTGCTAGGAAAGCAGAGAGGACTGTATTCTAAGGCCCAAAAGCTTATAGGTTGGAGCTTAGTGGTAACTAACTTAAAACAGGTTTAAAAATAGTTAAATAATGACTGCCTCATTTGCTACTGAACTTTTAAGGAATGGTTACCAGGCCTTACCATCTTTTTACTCGAGGTTTGTTTTATGGACTTTGTCCACCGCATTCTCTCCTGTGTGAAGGCATTTATTCTAAATGAACCCATAAAAGGGCATTTCCTAAGGACTTACTTGGCCAATGAAAGGGCCATTATTCTGGTGCCTTGTCTCCTCCACTGGTTACCCTCATTGCAGAAACAGCTCTTGCTTCATTAAAGTAGGTGCATTCAAGACCAATGAGATGAAAGGATGAGGAAAATTTTAGCAAGGTCATGCAAGCTGAGTGCATCAGAGGCCCAAACTTAATTTTCTGATTCTTTCCAAATATTCTAGGGTATGGAAATTTATGAACAAAATATTCTTGTGTACGCTTATTTTTCAGTTCCTATCCCCAAAGTGCTTCTATCCTAGAAAGGGTTTCAACAGTATTCAAAGGCAGTAAATAAATTAAATGAAGTAAGTGGTCAGTGATGAGCTGAACACAAGAAACAGTCTGGGTAAGTACTAATTCTGGCTTAACCTCTCTGTGTACCTTGTCTGTTTTAGTTAAATTATCCCTGCTTCTGTTATCCATGTGCGTTCCCACTGTGTATGTGCATGTGCGTGTGTGTGTGTGTGTGTGTGTGTGTGTGTGTGTGTGTGGTGTATGTTTTGGAAGGGTTGGGGAACAACAGAGCCAGAGTACATTTTTACATTTCTCTGTGAGTTGGGCTGAAACATCAACAAGCCAAATTTCAGCTGTAACAAGCCTAGCTTTCTCTTTTGAAGCTTATAAATATGGTTTCTAACTAGGATTTTTCCTGATTTTTGTAATTTTGTTGCTTGATCTACAGATACAAATCAATTGTTTGTGTGGCCAAGTATAAAGAGATACACCTAACAATTTGAATATTTAATTTTATTTAGGATAAAGTTTGCATATACCATTTTTTTCATACACCATAGGTAGGGCATATTATAAAATAAAGAAGTTAAATAGGGGCTATGTAGTCTATAAACTATCACAGAGTTTTGGGCCTAATTTCTTTTTCATCAAAAAATTGACAAACATGGAAGGATGAAGAGTTACATCTTGGTACTGGCTTTCCTATTTAAAATATATTTCTTCCATTGGCATTGCCCTTCCTTGGCTGTCTCCCCAGATCAATCTGCCCATGTTTTTCAAGATCTACCTTCTCCAAGAGGCCTCCTTTGATCAGTTGAGATGGTTATCTTACCTAATCTTTCCCTAAACATCTATGCCCACCTTGTGCCAGTGAGCCCAACATCTTCATGTGTCTTCCTATTTTCTCCCACCCAAACTGAAAGGTCTATACACACAGAGGCCTTTTCTCCCACTTTTATGAAATAGTAACCACCCAAAGGCATGAGATTCATTAAGGCTAATTCAATAAGGAAATACATGAATTAAAAAGAATCCTTTGAAGGACATAGAGAATCTAAAGAAGATTCCAAAGTCAAATGCTTGGGTCACACTTACTCCTGACATTTTGGATGGAGTAGCAGCAATGATGGAAATGACATAACCATTAACCACACAAGTGTACCTGTTTATGTCAGTTTCTTCTAGCTCCTCTCCCATTCCATAAATGAAGAATGGAGCAAATTTTGGAAAACATTGTTACTATCTTAAAATATTATTTAATGGTAAGTTTTACTCCTTTATCACCTCTTTGCTGATTTCAAAGAAGTGAAGTTTTTTTAAAGGATGATTAGAGGGACATATGCATGGAGCAGTTGGTTGAGCATCCAACTCTTGGTTTTGGCTCAGGTAGTGATCTTACAAGCAGGGGATCAAGCCCTGCCTTGGGCTCTGCACTCAGCATGGAGTCTGCTTGAGATTCTCTCTCCCTCACCCTCTGCTCCTCCTGCTCATGCTTTCTCTCTCTCTCTCTGAAATAAATAAGTAAATCTTTAAAAAAAGATGATTAGAAAGTTATTTAATTAATATAGATGAAAGTTGTAGGGAAAATGATCCAATTCTTGTAACATAAGACTCACTGGGGATAGCTTAATAAGTTAAGGGGTTTTTGTAAACTACCTTTAAAATTAAACACCTAAAAGGAAATTTAATTACATGTTGAGGATGATCTTCCCAGGAAGAAAGGGTGAAAACTGCCTCTTTTTATTTTAACTCTCTGGTGTCAACAAAGAGATCATTTATGTCAGGTATGAAAAGAAACCATTTCAAAAGAACCACCATTTGATTTAAAATGAAATCAATAATCAACTACAACAACTTAAGATTAATGATCCATGCTACTTCCCATCTATATTTTCTTATTAAAGCAGATAATCATCAATTAATTCAGTTGATCTTTTAATAACCTATAAATGAGGATATCTGCAATGTATCACAAGAGAAATTGTCATAATCTTTTACAGTTATCTCTTTTACTTGGATAATGGTATTTGTTTATCTTTGGGTTCCCAGACCATGAAGCATAGTGCAAGTAGTAGGTATTCAGTTAATGTTTATGACTAAATTAATCTGTCATTTGTTTTGAATGATATTATATTCATTGGCTCACTTGGCCTAACCAGCCATCACCTGAGATATTATTCCAGTTTTTTAGTTGAGGAAAATGATAATCTGTACAAGGTCATAAAAGAAATATAGTGAATCATAGACTAAAATCCCTCCATTTCTTTCCTCATTAAAGTACTGGAGGAAAAGATGGAAGGACAGAGAATATAAATGCTTCATTACATATGTCTCACTGTTTTTAAAATTTTTAGAGTACTGCAGGAAAATGTGTAATAGCAAGTGCTAACACGAAGAATTGTAAGGCATGTAAATTTTGCAAATTCCTATCATAATCAATAATAATTGACTTTCATGAACCACAATTTGGCCTCAATTCTTCTGTATATAAACATTTATACAAAGTTCTTGAGAATGCTTAAGTGAAATATAAAATAACAGAGATAAAAATAAGATATAAAATATAGTATCAATTTAAGTTATTACTTCATAATTTGAATTGCTATTGATCTAATTAGAGATTTGAGGTTTCAGCTTGTTATTTGGCCATTGAATAAAGATTTTATGGAAATGAAAACATGGTATATTTTGAAGTCAAAGTATTATATAAGGAAAAATGAAGATGATCCCTAAGAAGTTAAAGCATGTGATTTTTCTATTTTAATTCTAACTGACCATGTGACATTTGGGAAGGTCATTTAATTTCCCTGAGCCTCAGTTTGGGGAATGCCACACAACCACAATAAGGCATATCTTCCCTTGCCTACCTTCTAAGGTGGTAGGAAGGATCACATTTGGCAATGCCCGTGAAAGTACTTTGCAATTTCTCCCTTAATATGACATTGTTTATTTTATGACATTGTATTACTGATTATTCACAGAATCAAATATCCTGTGAGTCACAAAATATTTGGACATCAATACAACTGATGAGGACAGCATGCTTATTGCTGAAAAAGCTGCATTCTGACTTACAAAGCAAAAATTTTTAAAAAGCAATCTACTGTTTTACGTAAATATAGGAATTAGCCCAGTAGTATTTGTTTCTTTGTCCCACTAGAGGCTGTAGAGTAATATCTGCGTGTGTGTATCTTTACATAACTATGTAACATTACTGTCCTAAGAGACCCTAGATAACTCTCACAAACTTCGGGTTCACTTACATTCCTCTTGGCAGAAAAGTCTCATTATATTGAGGGTAGGTGACCCCAGAGTCTAGAGCCCTCATGCAATCAGAGAGAACTAACAGAAAATAAGCCAGAATACTGCACTGACTGACAGCCCCATTTAGGGAGGCGTCAATTTAACTTTAAACCCATTAGCTCATTGAGAGCAAGGGAGAGAAGGGGATGTCTCCAAACGCAGGAAACTGTTGCCATAGCATTTTCCTTCTCTATTTCTGCCTACTCCTCCTCCCCCAAAGCAGCAACAATTTGTGCTCTCCGTTTTCTTTCAGCAACCAAATGCATTTTCGGAAGCCAGGACTCCAGGGTTGTGAAAGCTACACCACCTAATACTGTACCTGGTAGGGATATTGAATAAGTCTGAGAGTGCTGTTAAGTTTCCCCGGACAGAATCATCTTTGCGGATGCAATTGCAGAACAGGAAACAGACTCAGGGAAAATTGTAGCCCCCCCAAAATCTCATTGGCTATCTGCACAAGATAAGCCACAACAATCGCTCCTGCAACACAACGGATCCCTTTCAGTACTCGCAGCCGTGGACAGCTCCCTCACCTCGCGGTCGGTTCCTCCGCAGTGAGCCGCCTCGCGTTCAGCCCGCACAGGTCGGTGCGGCACCCGCCACCAAGTCTCCGCCAGCGCGCAGAGAACACGCGCTCCCCCCTCCTCCCTCTCGGTGCCCCCGCCTCTCGCTCACCCCGGCTCACTCCAGCGGCGACTTTGAGGGATTCCCTCTCGGGCGGCTTCTGCAGCAGCACATCTGGCCTCATTTGCTGCACGGTGAGCATGGATCTCAGAAGAAGAGGCTTCCCCAGCGTCTACAGACTTCGAGTTCTCCTGATGCTGTTCCGTGAGTAGCGTCTGGGCGACCGCGAGGGCAGGGTGCACTATTTCCTGAGAAAAGAACCGGCAGAGTAAAACCAGTAGCTTAAGGTCAAAATGTGACCCTTACGTTTTCCTATTTTCTTTCTTTTTGGGCGGCGGGGTGGAGGGCCTTCCCGCCAGTGGCAGGGAATTCCCCAGAGGGCCACACACCTGTACTGCACATCCCAGACACAAAGCTCTGCAAGCCTGCTTCGTGGGGTCAGAGCACTGGCAAGAAAGATTTGGTTTAAAAGCCTAAGATGAAAAAAGCCAGTCGGCTTACAAAATAGTAAGGCTTTACATTTTTTAATTTTTATTTTGATTATAAATTAACAGCAGCGGAGTTAAAATTGTTGGCGCTACGTTAGAGAAACGGCTCGCAGAGCGCACAGCAGCCCGCAAGGAACTTTATCACCCCAAATCCCGCAGACCACAATCTCTCCACCCTTGTGCCCGCGACGCGTGGGCTTGCTGAGCCCAGAACCGATGGAATTTTGGGGGGTTGTTTTTCCGCAGATACAATAGCTCGAATCACGGCAGAACAAGAAGTGGAAAATCTCTCAGGCCTTTCCACTAACCCTGAAAAAGATATATTTGTGGTGCGGGAAAATGGGACGACGTGTCTCATGGCCGAGTTCGCAGCCAAATTTATTGTCCCTTATGATGTGTGGGCCAGCAATTATGTCGATGTAAGGAAGCTTTTCCCTCCCGGCTTGCTCCTAGGGCTCCAGGGGCGAAGGGCACCCTCCCTCAAGGCCCGGTGAAGACCTGGGTCGCCCGCCTTCCCCCTCTGCGCCCCTGCAGGCTGCTTCCGAATGCTGCATGGGGGTTCCGGCTTGTAATGCCTTCTGCTCGCCCTGCCTGCTTTGAAAGTAACCCCCCTCTCTCTGCTTCCCTAACTGCCGGGTCTGCACGTAGAGCATCTAACCGCATGTTCCCGGACCCGGGAGCGCGCGCGCAAAGGAGCGCCCAGGCGTGCAACCCCAAGTTTGGACGCGCTGCCCTTTACAGCCCCCACCGAGGCCGGGCTAGCTGAGGGGGTGCGGGGCGTCTGTGTTCCCAGCTGATCACGGAACAGGCGGATATCTCACTGACCCGGGGAGCTGAGGTGAAGGGCCGCTGTGGCCACAACGAGTCGGAGCTGCAGGTGTTCTGGGTGGATCGCGCGTATGCGCTCAAAATGCTGTTTGTAAAGGTAACCTCGAGCGGGGCGCGGAGGCGGTGCTGCCTCCGGGTGGGTGCGGGCGTGCGCCGCCCCTCGGTTTCCTCACTCAGAATCCGTGGGGGCGAGTGACGCGCACCTCCCCCGCTTGGCAGGAAAGTCACAACGCGTCCAAGGGACCCGAGGCGACGTGGAGGTTGAGCAAAGTCCAGTTTGTCTACGACTCCTCGGAGAAGACCCATTTTAAAGACGCAGTCAGTGGTGAGTAGAGGCCTCAGGGCTGGGGAGGGAGCCTGGAAGACCGCGGGCACTGCAGAGAGCGCAGCCGTGGAGAAATTCGGAAATTTTATGGAAACCAATCCTGGCTCTGCACTCCCAGGCCACGTCCACCCTGGGCTCTGTCGCCAAGGTAGAGGAGGCGAGAGCACCGGTGCCTCGGGGCCTTAGGCCTTGTAGATGCGCAAGGAACCCCAGGCCTAAGGAACAGCCCGTCACCCCTAGCCTGATCCTGGATGAGACGTCTCAGGAGGGCCTGTCATCTCCGGGCGGCTTCAGGACGATCTCTTATGATTTGCACTTTCAAGGAACACGGAGAAGGGCAAAGCTGTGTTTTTTTTTCTGCACCCCGGTTTTTCTTCTCATGTGTGGAAACTTGAAAGGGTCAGTGTGACTCCTTTTCACTCAGGATTTGATGGCCTTCAGTATCTTTCTGCTCATGTCCCCAGGGCTCACACTTGATCCTCAGTCATCGACTGCAGCTACCCCAGAGAGGATTCTGAACCGTGTCCTAATTTATTAGCTTTTCCTGCCCATCACTCCAACAACTCACCCAGATCCTCCAAAAATACCGTGGCAGAAGCAACAACCATTCCCCAGATAAGAATGTTCCCATGTGCAGGCCCCATCAAAGACCACACTTAAGTTAATTCATTACCTAACTTATAAATAATAAATAAATTATTATTTATAAGATGCCTTCCATCACCTGGGCACCTACTTTGGGAAAAGATTTTTATTGAGAACATGAAAGAATGTTCATGTCATTTCTCCCTTTCTACCTCTTTTAATCATTGTAGTAAAACGCATTTTCTTCTCTTCATCAAAATCCATATTCAAATACTTCTCCCAGTTATGTTAGATGCCTCCCCCCACCCCTGCTAAAAATAAAAGGAAAAGAGGAAAAAAGCCAAAAACAAACCCCACAAACATGTGTCAGAAAAGGAGATAAAAGGGGCAGACCTCCACAGAGTATATAGGTGTACCAGGGCATCTGCTCCGGGCACCAGCAATCAGCCCTGCTTTGTTGAGGAAGGAATTTACTCTGTTCGGGTCAGTGTGAAACGTGGAAGATCAAGTCACTGTATCTTTGGACTCTCCAATGTCAGGGTTTATGTAGTAAAAAGAAGGTTGGATGTGTAGGTATCACTCTCCTCTGCGAGACAAGAAATTTCAAATCAGTGTTTAAGGGGCCCCTGCTCATGAAAGAAGGGCTGTGCTTGTCCTTTGTCAGCCCTTGATGTCACTTGCAGAGCCCCACCCCCCGCAAGGCAACACAGAGGATCGGAAGGGTGTCTGGAGCGGAGCGGTAGGAGGTAGGAGGTCAGGATTCTGCCAGAAAGAGGGTCCTAACGGTTGCTTTGGGCCATCCCTGCAGCTGGGAAGCACACGGCCAACTCCCATCACCTCTCTGCCTTGGTCACCCCAGCTGGGAAGTCCTATGAGTGTCAAGCTCAGCAATCCATTTCACTAGCCTCCAGCGATCCACAGAAGACGGTCACCATGCTTCTGTCCGCAGTCCACATCCAGCCTTTTGACATCATCTCTGATTTTGTCTTCAGTGAAGGTAGGTTGGTGAGGGGATCTCAGTGGGAGGAGGAGAAGACAGGAGCCAAGGGAAGGCTGACGTCAGTGTGGATGGGGAAGGGGACCTGCCGGGGTCCCAGGCTATTACCACTTGTTTTTCTTTAGGCTGACATGACACTTCCTCTCTCTGTAATGTTTTAGGAACAGTATCAACTTTCTTCAATAGCTCCTTCTTCTCCCTTCCTCCTTTACTCCATTTTCTCCTCTCCCACTTTCTCTTCCCTTCCTTTATTTCTTCCTCTTTCCTTTCCTCCCTTCCTTTGCCAAAGAGGAACCTTGATGGAGAGAGAGGTAACAAGATCCATTTGGAAGACCTGTATATAATTTTGATGCAAATTTCCCAATGAAAAAGCAGCTAAAAATCTCAAGTACTTACCTAGAGAGCGTGGATTATAGAAGGACCTCTGCTTCTGTGGGCCTCAGTTTCTCCATGTTATTTCAGGCACTTTCAGCTGTAGGTTCTGCCACTGTGCATCTGTTTTTGTGTAGCTAGAATGTAGTAGGGGTGTGTGTGCACGCTTGCACATACGCAGGTCAGAGAGACTCATGAAGACCTCTCTCCCTCCAGCACTCACCTTTGTGGGGAAGAACACCCTTGAGGCTCTGGGGAAGCAAGGGTCCCTGATCTTTTCCCTCTGGGGTATGGAGAAAGGCTTCTTCGCAGTCTGTGCTAGTCTCTGAAAGGGGGTCAGGCAGCATATAGCCGGGCAGATTCAGGATGGGCACAAGGGGAGTCCACATTTCTGCAACTTATCCGAGTCTAGCCCCAATTTATACTGGGCAAATGTAGGGTAAGTGAATTTTTTAATTCATTTGTTCTTTCTTTTTTTTTTTTTAAAGATTTTATTTATTTATTTGAGAGAGAGAATGAGAGACAGAGAGCATGAGAGGGAGGAGGGTGAGAGGGAGAAGCAGACTCCCTGCCGAGCAGGGAGCCCGATGTGGGACTCGATCCCAGGACTCCAGGATCATGACCTGAGCCGAAGGCAGTTGCTCAACCAACTGAGCCACCCAGGCGCCCCCATTTGTTCTTTCTTGTCTGCAGAAGTTTGTTAAGAAATGGGGAGAGATTCTGGTTGCTTTATGGATACCTTCCTTTGGGCTGGGGATCCCCAGGTGAATACAACTATTGGAATATACAGGATATCAGGGAATCCCCATCTATGTCATACATAAATCATTAAATCACTTCCCAGGGAATCCAGCTTTCATACGATTCCCCTCCCAACTCAGAGTATACTGAATAGAATCTACCCCACCCCCACTGGGATGATTTAAAGACCATTTGAGCATTCTTAAGTTAACAGTCTTTGACCGCAGAGCCGACTTCTTTTTTCACCTTTGTATTTTTACCACCTGATACAGTGTTTGGCACACTGTAGATGCCCAGTGAAATTTGGCTGAATTGATATTCTGAAGCCATGGATACAATTAACAGAGGCTTCCAAATGCTTGAATGCCAGATGAAGCAGAATTTAATATATTTACTAAGTCAGTGCAACCCTTACTTCCACACACTTAGGGAAGAATGGGTTATTCCATTTTAATGGATCTTCCAGAAAAATTGAAACTAAACTCTAAGTATTAAAACATAACATTTTTAAAAAATCTGTTTGATTATGGAAGTATTTATAAAATGTAAGTCAATGTCTTTCTTAAACTGAAAATATTAACTATTATTTAATGTAATTGAGCTATGATTACTGATGACCAGGAACTCATGAGGAACATATTGGATTGTGTAGAATCAGTCCCTGGGGTTCCTCCCATAGATGCTTTTGAGTTTATAAGGGAACTTTGTATAGCCTCTAACGACTCTCTGTTTGTTACCGGTCAGCTCTTCTTGGGCATGTCCTTACTTGTTGGTTCTACTAATACTATGATGACTGCCTTCACTAGGTCCTTCCCACAACCTCACTTTCACTTATTCTCAGTTGTTTCCACATTGTTGCTTACAGTCATTTATGAACTGAGAAACCAAATCTCATCCATGTGTAGGATCCTATACAAAGTGAGAGTAAATGAGTACCGAGTAAGGACCAGAGCTATTTTCCTGAACATAAGTAAAGTTAATGGCATGGACTTAATGGACATCTTTTGTTTGAAAAACAGTTTTTATCCACTTCCAGGTCCGGGACAGGGATGGTTGCTGGGTAGACTTAGAGAGTTTGTAAGCAGAACTTTCTAAATGTAGATACATTAAGCACCAGCCAATTGTACTTGTCTCCCGCAGGCTTTTCTGGGTAATAATTAGGACGTCCCCTCTTGTAGGGTGCCCTGGGGCTCAAAGCTCCTGCTCCTGGGAGGAGGCAAGCCTCATTCAGAATCACTCACTGGATCCTTGTGCCTTTGTGTGGCAGGGGCTCTTTTGTTTCTTGCTCCTCCTATCTGCGCCTCTCAGCACCTGCCCCCCACTGTGTTTTGTAAGAGATCATTTTATTTGATTTGGTGGAATCCAAAAGATTCCTTTTGGGGTGCTATTTTGGGACTTGGCACTTGCGCCTCCCCTTTCCCAGAATAGAAGCTTGGGAGGTGTTGCCTGTACCTGAGTGGGGGCGCGGGGCAGCAGTATCTGGTCATATATCTGCACACCCACTGTGGCGGTATGTGCGTGTGGTTGGCAGATGTGTGCAGGACCTACAGCCAAAGGGTTTCCAATGAAGGACTTATTCCCTGTGTAAGGGGGCCATACTGGCAGTCTGAAGTTTCAGACCTGCCTGCTTAATAGACTCTGAGAAAAGCAAGGAAGGGTCAGTGAAATGGATTACTGGATACTCACAGGGCTGAGAGCAGCTCGAATGGGGGTTGACGTCTTTATCACATAAATCCCTTTAGTGCTTTGAGCTCAGCTACTACACTGATCCTCAACAGAAGTCTCTTAGCCCAGCCCGTCTCCAACTGCAGTGTGCACATGAATCTTCAGCTACATTGTGTACAACTGTGGTGATCTTGTTAACATGCAGAGTCTGGTTCAGTAGGTCTGGGGGCGGGGCCCAAGATGCTCCATTTCTAGTAAGCTGCCTGGTGATGCTGCTGGTCTGTGGAATACTGTAGGGGGTTTGAGGGATCTTGAGCTGACCAAGGAAAAGATATGACCTTGAGAGGCAGTAACACACAAGCTTGATTTGGTGGTACTTGGACAGGGTTGCATCAGAGGGGAAGCTGCTCAGAGCATGAGACTTGTCCAGAGGGAGGCTTATGGGGACCACCATCCAGAAGGGGAGGAGGGCAAAGGATATCTTGGTGGGGAGAAAGGAGCAGGGAGAGGGGGGCTTACATGTCTAGGTGATATGGCTCAGCAGCATGGTAAGGAGTCTCTGGATCAGAGAGCTCTAAGGGGCAGCAGAAGCTGAGGCCTTATACCTCTAAGGCCCTATGTTATCAATGGGTAACAGCTGTGGGGTGAGGTTTGGTATGCAAAGCAGGCAGGCTCTAAATAGCTAAAGATGTGCTTGTTTGGGCTGGTTTTTAAATAACTAGATGTGTAAAAATTTGAGTTTGGCATGGCAGGCTTTCGAGCTAATGGTCTCAGCCTGCAGTGAAGAAATAAACCACCTAGGGGCCAATACACAGAGGCTACTTTGGCTCACTTCTGTAACCAACATACTTTCATGGCAACTACCAGCCGGCAGTTCAAGGCACGTCCTGCTTCCCAGTTGGGGTTGATTAACGTGTCCTTCCACAGTGAAGTCCGTGTAGTGTGTCCCTTTGAGCGTCCCAGGAGATTTCTGGCTGGGATGGGATGAAGACTGCATCACTGATAGGCAAAAAAATCAGACAGAATTTTAATGGCTTGAATGAAAGTCAACTTTTATGTATGCATAATTAGAGAAGAAACATAACAGAACACAGAGGGTGTCTCTGTTCCCCTTTATTAAAGATTCAGGTTTAACAGGCATTTAAGAGTTACCACATAGAGGCTGGTGCCTTTTTCAATTCTCGAGGGGAAAAATAAGCAAACAAACCAACCTGTAAAGAAAGTACTGAGAGTCCAGATTACCGCAGAGAAACTGAGTCTCAGAGAAGTGAGGTTATTGGTGAAGTCTGCCCTCTTGGTGGCTGCTCGGGCTGGGGCAAGAGCCTGTCTTTGGATATCAACTCCTGTGCTCTTAGCCTCTCAGAGCTTCAGCTGCTCCCGCTGAGCGACTGTAATAAACATGTGAACGCGGGAGGCGCCTTTACAAAGGTTGTCAAGTCCCCTGAATTCATGAGCTTTTTATTAGTATTCTTAACAGCATGATTGGGAGATGCCACTTGATCTCTATTTTACCCAGATCTGTGTTTTAGTGGAAATGAACACGCCTTACCTTGCTCTGTACAGCAGCCCCCAGTAGAACACCCTGTGGCTAGCTGCCACACCACAAGTGCAGGAAGGCTTAGCTGATGCTGATCCAGAGCGTTGTGTAGACCTGTGATTTACTTAACATCTACCAGCCAAGAAACGGGTCACCCTGGGTTGTTGTCCCTCAGGATCTCCTGGGTAAGAATCTAGGGGGAGATAATCCTGTTTCGAGCACTGCTAAGAACTGTGTCGAGGGCTGGGATGTGGAGCCCTAGTGTGGGGCCATGGAACTAGCCAGTTGTAGAATTCAGTATTCCTGGTACTGTCCTGGAACATAGTGTTTCAGGCTGGGTTCCCAGGGGAGCAGATCCTATGCAAGTATGTAAGTGCAAGTGGTTTATTTAGGAGGTGATTCTAGAAAGCACTGGTAGGGTGCTGGTGAGGTGAGCTAGGAAGGCAAGACTATCAGTAACAGGAGCACCAATGATCAGGTTTCCACCATGGGTACCTGGGGCTCACACTGCTGGAACCTCTGGGAGTGTAGAACCCACCTCTGACTATCTGGCCTGAGAGGTGGGAAAATGGCATTTACCCACCAACTCCCATCCACCATTGATGGCTGCTGGGGTCGGGGAGAGGCGCTGACTCTCTGAGACTTCTAACCTGCCTTGTAGGCAAAACCCACTGGAATGTGTGGG